CTTCTTATATTCTTCAAACATCTGCCTACCATGTAATCCAGCCATCCTACCCTTGATAAAGTATTTACTCAAAAGAAGTGAATTTACATAAAGATTTATATGTGGATATTTCTGGAAGAGTTCTTTATAATAGCCACACACTGGAAATAATGTAACTATAAGTGTGTTTGAGAACAAATGGAAACTCGTTTTTTAATATTACGATATGTAGGTTAAAAGTAAAAGGACAGTAAAAGGTACATCGTGGAATCATCAGGCATTATAAAGCTGGGGTAGGACGAACTGGAGAAGGCTGGTGTCAAATGTGCCCTGCCCTGGACAGGCTTTCAGACACTGCTGTGGGCAGTTCAAGAAGGTACTGACAATGTTTGTTTGTGTGTTTGTTTTTCAAAACACGGTTTCTCTGTGTAACAACTCTGGCTATCCTGGAACTTGCTTTGTAGACCAGGCTAGACTCTAACTCACAGAGATACACCTGCCTTTGCCTCCTGAGTGTTGGGATTAAAAGCAGAGCAGACATTTCTGTTATTTATGCTACAACAGAAGGAGGTGACCACAAGCAGTTGGTATTATTTTAAACATTATTTTCCTCGGTGCACGCCTGTAATCCCAGCGCTTGGAAAGGTGATACAGGAGGATAGTGATCTGAAGGCCAACCTGGATTGGACAGCAAGAGCCTGTCTCAAAACAAAACTACAAATATATGTATATTTCACAGTTAGACATGACCTTTTGGCATCCATCCTTGCCTTACACGGGTCTTGCAAATGGTCAGTGCAGACGTAGCTACAAAGACTGTCATAACAAATATTGTCACAGTATCCCCCTACTGAAGTTACTTCAGGGGCTTCTGCTGATCAACATGAGGGGTTAGTGATACAAATAAGGGTTTAGAGGGCGGAGCAATGTCATCTTCAAGGAGCAGAAACGGATTGCCAGTGCTGTTCTACTAGAGGGACTAACTTTACCTGCAGAAACTTACGTCATAAAGGGTTTTACTTCTTTAAATGGCCAGAGTCAAGTTGTACTTATTCTGTAGGTTAGAATGTTTTGTTGACTCATGGAGTGCATACCAAACAAAACCAAACAAACAAAAAACAGACTTTTTATGACGAAGCAATCATCGTCAACTGAACCAATGTTCTTCTATATAGGAACATAATAGAGGTCCTCTGCAATGGATTCCGAAGGTCAGCAGCACGTGTACAAAGCAGAGTTGGGAGCATGATTGTTTTATGGAGTTCTCAATAACTGCTTAGAAGCTATGTTGAAACAGAATGTTGTAACTCAGTCGTTTGTGCTGGGTGGTGCGGTGCTGGTAGACTGTCACCAAAATTTACTTTTCGGAACTCAGAGTTGTAAAACAAACTGTCTGAAACCAATTAAATCTATATTTTCACTCCCGACACAGGAAAAAAGTACAAGCTCATCAATTAGAGGATCTTCGTTGTTACTGTGTAAATCAATCTTGTTCCGGGGAAAAGTCAACCCCAAACCCAAACTTCTTTTCAAGGACTTACCAGTTCTTTAGGATAAGAAATCTAAGCTGCATCTTTCTGCTCTCAGATGTCACGGTGAAAAGGGAAAAGAAAGAGGAGAATTCTCGACAAGAGAAGAGTTCTCATACTGACCAGATTGGAGTGACTGGATTCTCTGGACCCATGTGATGTGTGTTCCATTCCTTCACAATAATCAAGGCTCCAAGCCTTCCTCCCTACAGTTTAGGCACTCACCAACCTCACTGTTCAGTAACCTCTTAACACAAAGGTAAGACATGACAGCTGGATCATTATTCAGAATCAACCAATATAATATGATATATTAAAAGGCTAAAGAAGAAAAATTATATGATCACAAAAAATTAAGTAGAAAAAGCATTTCAAAAAATTAACAACCATTCATACAAAAAAAATTTTCAGACAAAAATTGGAACAGAACAGAATGTCCTCAACTTAAAACTTATATAAATATTTATACCATCTGGTGAAACTAAAACCCCACCCCCACTCCCTGAAAACTCCCCGATCTCCAGCTCTTGTGTTCTCCGACCTGGCAGTCATCTTAGACTCCTATGTAGCAGAACTTGGCAGTTTCCATGTCTGGATCACAAGGAGCCTACCCCTAAAAAGGATTGAGCTGACCCACCTCCGGCAGGCACCACACCTCATGTTGTGTGTCAGTCACTGATAGGTCTCGCCTGTCACCTCTCATTGTCACAATGTTCTAAAGCTGACTGCTAATTGTGTCTACTGCAGGAATCCAGGAACAGACTCAGGGAGATGCAGTGACCCCGCTCAGTCAGCACAGCTCATTTTCAACCCCAGGGCCTGGTCAGCATCCACAGTTCACTGTGTGCCACCAGCCATCATCATGTCCAGGTTCCCTGTGACCCTGACTTTAAGCATCTTTTTTGTCCAGAAGCAGAAGAAGAACAACTTGCTGGTGATAGCTCTTCAGAAACCCCAGTTCTAGAACTCTTTCTGGGCTTTCATGTTCTGAAAACCTGGCTCCCCTTGAGTGGCACAATAGGAAAATGGGCAGGGACTCTTGTCTTCCAGGTTAGCTTGTCTGGACATAGCCCCACAGGACAGAGAAGGACCCGGGACACAAGCCAAGATTTGTGGACAGTAGAAACCTCTGCCAGGTGTGCCCTGCGTTCCACCTCTTTCCTCTGCAGGACTAAGGCACAGTTGTGTCAAGTCATTTTCAGTCCAGCAGAACTTGGTTCACACATCGTTCTTAAGGGACAATGTCAAGTTGTTTTTCAAGAATTAATGCACTGAAAATGGAAAACCAAACACATCTCGCTTTCAAAGTTAAAACCGCATATCCACTGAGGCAACTCATTAAATTTATTTAAGACCTTTGAAACTTTGGGGGGGAAAAGTGTGAGAGAAGGTACTTCGGCATAGTTCCCGCCCCCACCATCTAAGAACATTGCTGTGGGCCGCAGGAATATATCATAAGAACTCAGCTGGTTATGGCAAAGTCACTACCTGGAGGGATCAGGGAATTCCTCCAGAGGAAGCCAAATCCCAAGGAGTTTTTGGTGTTACTTGGCTTGTTATATATCAGCTGTATTCCGTTATGAAAATCATGTGTGCCTTCATAGTTTTCCCAATTGACTTTCCCCTAAGAAGGGCTAACAGTGTAGACTGATCACTCTCTGGACATACACATTCCAGGTATTTGGAGAACAGCCTCAGGAAAGGTTTTCTCTGGAATCAGATTATCTCCCTTGGTCACTTTCAAGAACTACAGGAAACACCACCCAGGTGGGCGCCCATTGTTAGTCCCAGGTGGACTAACAATGATAACAGCCCACATGCAAGTTTCCTGACTTACGGTAAATTCCACAAGGAGACACCGCCCAGGAGAGGTGGACGTTAAGTAATAGCTTTACACAATCTAGCTCGGACCCTCCCTTTATATACCGAGAGACTTCCAGGGCACGAGGGGAGAAGAGAGAAGAGAATGGAAGAACTAGATGGGTAAGAACTTGAGAGGAACGAACTGAGATGGGGAAGAACTAGATTGAAGGACTAGAAGAGAGGACTAGAGGAACGAGATGGAAGATGAGGAAGAGCCAGATGGGGAAGAACAAGATGAGGGAGAGCCAGATGAGAGAGAAGGAGACGGGAGAGGAGCTGATAGGAGAAAGAACTAGATAGATGAGAACCTAGAAGGGGCAGAACTAGATGAAGGAATTAAGATGGAACCTAGAGGGGATCGCAGACAAGTGTAGAGAGAAATCAGGCTAAAGATGACCTAAATATGAGAGCAGAATATAAGCTTGTAACTCACAGAATAATAAAGTATATGGACTAAGGAGTTTCGTGTACATAGATTCATTTCTTCCCATTAAAGATTAATTATCAGCTGGTTGTAGATTCTTCCCGGACCCTGGGAGGGGACTATCGAGGGGCTGGACCCTCATAGTCCCCGATAGAACATTTTCTCTAATAATGGGCAAAGTGCACAAAGTTGTGTTGCAAGTGATCCTCCAATAGGTTGATGGAGGAAGTTATCATCCAGTGTTTATAACATTGGCAGGGTTTCAGGAGTGTGACCTCAGAGCACCGTGAGAGAAGATTCTTGAGGAGTGGAGAAAACGCCCCCTGTCAGAGACATTGTTGCAAATGAGTGTAAGAAGAACATATGGACAGTTATGTGGCTCACATATCCCAGCAGAGGAATTCCAGAAGTGCCAGGCTCTGAAGCTCGGCAGAACTTGCCAGACGCCACAGATTGCCAGCAAAACGGAGATGAGGGCCCTGGTAGCAGTGGGGCAGATAGATTAATTGCTATTCTGAAGTTTTTGGGTTTTTTGTTTGTTTGTTTGTTTGTTTCTTGTTTTTACGAAACTTTAGTAAAACAACAACAAACAAACAGAAAAGGCAATGGAACAAACATCCCTGCTATATCTGTTTGTGGACCACAGCCATCCGGGTCAGATGGAGCAAGGCAGAGCAGAGCTTACTGCCCAGAGCTCTGTGAGCAGAGCATCTTAGACCAAAGAAGGATGCTTCTAGCTTATCGAGCTCTAAGGCCAGAAGCACTGGCAGGTTCTGAGCCCTTCGGTGGGGCGTGGGTTCAAACAGCTGTGCTTCTAGGAAGTTCTTAAGTATTAACAGTTGTTGGTCAAAGTACTAATCCTGAAGAAGGGAAGAATTTGTTTAGTGAGCTGGAATTTTCTGAGTAGAGAAAGGCTCTCTTAAAACAACAAGAAAAAAAAAAAACGATAAACTCGGGAGGTGAAAACAACCTCCAAGCGGACAAGTTGGATGGGCAGAAGTAGGGCTGAAAAGTAACAAGAGGAGGAACCTGGATCTCACTCAACATCTTTCCTCCTAGCAGAGTTTCAGAGGAGGGGAAAGAAGGAAGCCTTCGCCTTTGGCTCTAGGAGAGGAGAAAATGTCTTTCTTTGGGGCAGAAGATGCATCACACAGATGAACACTGCTGGGTGGGGATGCATGCGGGACTGGGCTACAAGCCCTTACCTGTGCTCACCCTGGTCGGTGTAGAAGTTCAGGAAGAGCCCCTCTGAGGTGTCCTGAAGCACTTGGCCAGAGAAGCCGAGGTTCAGCTCATATCTGCTACCTGGATGCAAGGCCTGGCCCAGATCCAGCACCATGTAGTGCATGTCCAGCGCGAACCACACATTATCCACTGGCACACGGCCTACAGTGGCGTCCCTAGTATCCGGGGCGAGGGGACCCCACACTTCCACTTGCTTGTAATTCAGAACGAAGCTGTGCAGCAGTAATCTCGAGGTGGCCACTGTGCAGCGGACAGTGATGTTCACGCGACCCGTGAAGGTCAAACTCGGCGTGGACAGGTCATCCGGCCGTAGCCGGGGCCACAGCTCCAGATCATAGTGAAGCGGGACAAGCCAGGGAGGCAGGCGCAGATGGTCCCAGGGCCCCGACGGAGGTCGCCAGTCTTGTGAGGTGGTGGCCAACGCTGGCTCAGGTGCAGTCTCTGGTGTCCGGGTTGGTGGCCCCTGCTCCTGTCCGCCGGGAAGGGATAATGCGGTGCCTTTCACCCCAGGGCTATGCTGCTCTGAAGGCTGGACGCGTGCGCATTTGCCATACAGGGCAGCCAGAGCCACCAGCACCATCAAGAGCGCGGCCGTCAGCCCTGCCAGCAGGAGGGCCACCCCGCGGCTCACATAGATGCCGGAGCTGGAAGAGGAGCTCATGGTAGGAGTCTGGGGTGGGCGAGATAGGAGACTAGAGACCGTGAAAGCGGGTCAAACCCAGGACGGGATGCGTAGCGGTGGGACCCCTGCCCAGTCCCTCCTCTCTTGTACTGTCCCTCCTCCTCCAGGAGCCTGGGAAGAAGGCATCTGGGACCATGGTTTTCCCCTCCCCTAACCAGATCCAGATCCCTGCCTACCTACCCCCGCCCCACCAGAGACGAGGAGGAAGGGCGGACCCCTCACCCCAGGGCGCGCTCCCCTTTGGTCCTTGCGGGGAGGCACCGTCAAACCAAGCCATCTGGACGTCATCGATGGGGTTTTTTGGATTAGGGTACTGGCTGGAGTGTGTGTGAGCTGTGACTAGCAGGTGAAGGAAAAAGTCAGGTTCTGAGTGAGGGGGTTGTAGGGGGTTTTGATGACATTCTCTGAACTGCAAAGAGCGACCACGCCACAGTAACATCTGAACCAAAGCTGATGTCTCCAAGTCGCTACTAGCTTAAGTAGCGTACGCACCCGGCTCAGACAGCAAGCGTAAGCTTGGAAGTTTTGCTGAATTGGGGGACCAAAATCAAAGCAAATCAGACAAACAAAACTAGGGAGCAGGGAGCGATAGCTATCGTGTGGGAAGGAGGAAGAGTAGTGGACGATAGCGTCCTCTTTGGAGGACGCAACTTTGGAGCAAGATTTGGCTCTCCGCTTCCACACAAGGGAAAAGGAACTCCTGCTTATAAAATCCGATCATTTCAAGCAAAGAAGATAAAGCGGTCTCTCCACCCAGAAACCAAGGGGCTGAGCTGTTTACTGGCGGTGCCCAGACTAGTGAGTTCTTTGGCACGCCAGGCATCTGTTCGCTATTTAGCCTGAGTGCCTGGGCGGGTTCTCCGCCTTGCGCTGCGCGGTGTCCTGTCCTGGGTCTGCAGACACGCAAGCACAAAGCTGGTGGGTGAATGGGAAAAAAAACACGATTAAGATCCGTGGAAGGCTGAAGATTCATTTCAGAGTATCCAGTCTTTAAGATCTTCTTTCCCCATCCAGAGACATTGGGGGATCTTTTGCCTGGTAGCTGTAAAGGGGGATTAGCATTCCTGTCTTGCCCTTAATTCTTCCAGGGTGAACCTAGAGGGGAAATGTGCGTTTCCTCTCTCCGACGGAAATCAATCACATCAACACCTCTAAATCAGGGAGGTGGAAGCCAGTTTGACTGGGAGCTCAGAAGGATGCCCCGTCATCTGTGGACCAGGCTCCCTGTCCTGGGTTGGGTTTGCTTCTTCAGAAAAGGAAAAGTCGTGTTTAAAAATAATTGTCACCACGTGCTTGAGTCTCAGAAGACCCTGGCTGACGATGAGGAGAAAGATCCCCTATACCGTCACAGTTATGCTGCTGGGATTGGGATCTAAGGTCACAGCAGGCTTTCTGGGTTTAAGTCACCAGACGGAAATTTTGACTAAGCTAATTAATTAATTACACTGGCATTACCCTCCCCATTTCTCGCTCCCACCCCGACTCCTGGGCTGAATACGAGGACTGCACCACGGAGCTACATCCCCAGGATATTTTGTGGGGAGTCCAGGCTCCCCAAGGAAAGGCAAAAGAAAAGAGGTGAGTAGGGGGAGGAGTCAAAAACAGCGGAGGGAGCCTCCTCCAATTGTGTGTGTAGAAAACCACTGGAAAATGTGTGTTCCTAGGACACTCAAATGTGTGGAGCTGTGACACACGGGTGTGTCCTGAGCTCTCACTTGTGACTGATCATGAGGCACTTCTGCTTAATGTGGTGGCTAAGGCAAAAATGCCAAGTGCCTGGGTAAGGTTTAAGTTGTTTTAGATAGATAGATAGATAGATAGATAGATAGATAGATAGATAGATAGATAGATAGATGAGAGGGGGGGCAGGGAGAGACAAAAACAGAGACTCCTAGGATTAGAGACATAGACACAATGGCCAGTTCTTCTCAAGTGTATATGTGTATTTTACAGATATTTTCTTTGAGGTGATTACAGACATTTATTTGATGTTTCTAACTGATATCAATGTTTTCAACTTATATTAACTTAAATTCAGAGAATTTAAAAATTCTGGTCCTAGTTAGCTCTGCCCACCCCTTCTATTAATGTCATAGAGTACACCTTTATGGGTATAAAATAATTCAAAATTTCATAAAAATCAGTGAAATTGAAGCAATCTTTTAAAATCTCCCAACTGAAAACCTTCTGTTCCATATAGATTCACTGGGGAATTTGACCAGAATCTCAAAGAAGAACTAACAGAGGACTATCTCAAACTATCCTATAACTTAAGGAAAGGAAGAACCTTCCCAGAATCCTTTTGTGAAGTTAGTTACCCCGGCACCAAAACCAGAGGAAAGGACAGCAACCAGGGAAAGTTAAATTGCAGTCCAACCTCCCTGACCAATGCAGATGCAAAAGTTCTCAACAAAATACTCACAACCTGAACTCAAAAACACATCAAAACGACATTCACCATGATCAAGTTCACTCTATTCCAGAGGTTCAGGGAAAGTCAGATACGTATAGATCAATAAATGTTGCAAATCATGTAAGTGGACTCAAGATACAGATTCAATGTAATTGTAAAGAAAATTCTTCAAAGAAACAGACAAATCTGAAAATTAATCCAGAAACACAAAAAAATCTGGGTAGATAAAGCAATCTTGAGCAAAAAGAATGTCACCATACCCAACTTCAAGTTCTACTATCAACCATAGCAATAAAAACAACATTGTACTGGAGCAAAAACAGACACGTAGATGGAGAGAGCTGAAGAGATGATCGAGACATGCGACCACACAACTAAAGTCATCTGAGGTTTTGACTCAGGTGCCAATAATATACATTGAAAAAAAATAGCCACCTCAACAAATTGTTCTGGGGGAAATGGATATCTGCATGCACAACAATGAAACTCCACCCTTCTCTCTCACACTGGACAGAAATCTACTCAAAATAGATTAAGAACTTCAGTAGAGGATCTGAAAATTTGAAACCACTTTAGGAAAAAGTAAAGAGTACATTTCAACACATAGGCATAAATAAGGACTCTTTAAACAGGACTCAGATTGCTCAGCAAATAAGACCAATAATCAACAAATGGGACTTCAGGAAATTGCTACTGTTCTATTACAACAGGGAATACTGTTGAGTAAAGAAATAGCCTCAAGAATGGGAGAGAGAAATGGCTAGCTATCCATCTGTCTTGATTCGTTTCTGTCAATCTGACACAGCCAGAGTCATGTGGGGGAAAGGAACCTCAACTGAGGAGACTTCCCCACCAGGCCGACCTGTGGGCACCTTCTGGATTGATGATGATATGGGAGAATCCAGCTCACTGTGGATAGAGTTACCCTTGGTCCTGGGTACTATAAGAAAGCAGGCTGAGCAAGTCATGGGGAGCAAGCCAGTCAGCAGCACCCCTCCATGGCTTCTGCATCAGCTCCTGCCTCCAGGTTCCCACTGGAGTTCCAGCCATGGCTTCCCTCAGTGATAAAGAGTGACCAGAGGGTTATAAGATGAAATAAACGCTTCCCTCTCCAAGTTGCTTTTTGTCATGGTGTTCATCAGAGGGATAGAAACCCTAAGACACATACTGGGACCAGATTTGTGGGGTACTGCTGTGGGCTATTGCCTAACCATGTTTGGGGGATGACTGTGGAAACTTAGAAAATGAATGCTGAAAGCAGTGCAGGTGATGGAGGCTGGCTTGTAAAGTTTCAGAGGGAAGTTCGAGAGTTCCTCAAAGACTCTACTGGGGATGCTTGATACTTTAAGAATCTGCTTTTCCTCCTTGTGAATTAATGGGCAAGGGAATTCCAGAAACTCCCCTCAAAACAATACAGGCTATATTATCTTTGCTCTAGGATTGCCCATCAGATCTAGATGGTAAGAACCTGCTGCAGAAAACATCATGCACTTTACAGCACGTAGAGAAATCGAGCTGGGACTCAGGTATCTTTCATAGAGCCTGGAGGTGCCATGAAGGCCACTGGGGGAGAAACGTCATCAGCGGTCTTACACAGTGGTGGGCCCTGCATGCTACAATACAGATCTACCGGGAAAGGTGTGGCCGCTGGTGCAATACTCGAATGGCTGTTATGTGGGTAACCAACGTCTTTATGATTGGATTTAAGGCTCGCTCCACAGGAGGGAACCTGGACTGCAAGCCTAGTCAAAACCTCCATGAGTGGGGAATTCATAAGCCCTAGGGAGGAATTTACTATTGTTGTTTGCTAAATGGACATGTTGTCAAGATCATTTCTAAATATTTATGTTTATACCCAGATACACGTTGCTCTCAATCTTTGCCGAAGAAAACTCTTTTTGCAGTGGGGGCCGTGATTAATACAGAGACGCATCAAAGCAATGACGGTGACTGCTGAGCGCTCAGCCCCAAACAGCAGGATCTCTCTCTCCCTCCCTCCCTTACATCCCTCCTCTCTCTTACACACACACACACACACACACACACACACACACACACACACACACACACACACACGACTCAGAGACTATTGAGAGACTATTGCAGAAGAGGGGCCAGGAAGAATACAAGGACTGCAGAATGGGAAGGAGTTCTGTAAATGCTGTCTTTTGACATGGTGTGGCCCTTGCACTCCTGAATTCAAAGTAGCTGTGATTACCTGCACAAAACCTCAGGATGAAGACTCATGAGGCCCCGCTATCTCTGTGGAGCTGTGGGAAGTTAGTGGCTGCTGAGAGGAAGAAGGACTCTCTTTCTTCGGTGATGTAGCCTCTGGTGGTACATTGTACATGCCCTCACAACTCCCAGCCCTGCTCATGCCAGGGATCCAGACTAAACTCAGTAAGTCATAAAGAAAGAAAGAGTTAAACAGGATTCGGAGAGGTGAGAATAGGGATAAAAGAAAAAGACCTGTTCTATATACCACAATAAAATAATCAGATGGGAAAAAAGGCCAGACACAAGTACTATTCATAATTACATAAATCTGGGAAGGCAGTCTTACACA